CGCTACGCTGCCGCAAAGTATAAACGCAGCCTCTCCTGACACGCCACAGCATCTGCAGCGAAAACGACGATATATCTTAACGTTCCTGAAAGAGATTGCTCAATGTCTTGAAAGTGGTGATGCTCAGGCTCACAGTTTCCTAGTAAATCTGGCATTTCACTGGCTTTTAGCTTTGGAGTCATCAGAAGCTCCAAAAACATTGATCCTCAATCATCAGCTGTTCAGGAAAATCGAGGACGCTGAGTTACTACGCTATGGCTGGAAGTTACCTATTTTTCTATTCTCAAAATGATGAGAATGTGACAATGTCCATCTTTTACACTGAGAAGGAAGTAAGTCGCTCTCATTCCCTATGTGTTTTCATGCACCGCCGAACATCAAAACAAGCAAGCTTCATTGTTAAGCGTGCATGAATATACACTCTAGTTCGTTGCGGACGGTTGGGCGTGTCAGCCAGTATGAGTGTGTCACCCCGTCAAAGCCGTTCTCTGCCTTCTTGTTGAAAAGCGCATGCGACAAAAAGTGGTAGAAAACGAGTAATACGAAGGATATGATACAGTATTGTCACTTGCCCGCTTCAACAACTGGTGGAGAACGAGTTTGGCACCGCGCCAAACGCAGCCGCACTGACACGCCCAACCGTCCGCAGTGAACTACTGTACATACCTCACCTCAATGGGAATAAATTTCTCGAATCACTTGCTTCCTTCAGTTCACTCGATCACACTGCTGCCGCTCTGACCCCTCTGCACTTCAATATGAGAATTGATTTTTCTTATTTTTCCTGGGTGTCCTACTGCCTGGATGTACTGATGTGGCAGCGTAATATTCCCCTCGAACGATAGACCGACAGTCCCTTCCGAAACGGGTCGATAGGTCATTCGAATGAAGACATTTTATAAACGGTTCGTCCTAGGTCAAACTAACAACTTAAACTCACCGAAAACAACCCTGTTATTCTTTAATTCCATGCGCTTTTTTTTCAAAAAAGCATTCAAAGGAATGCAAAAAGTTCCGGCGGCGGGGCAGTGGTAATTCGGCTACATGCCGTTGGGACTCCAGAATTTTCGTCTTCGAGTATATTTAAAAGTGGCAAGATCAAATCCGATAAAAAACTTTATGAATAGCAGGTATTCAACATCCGTCATTACTAATTATGACATTCATTTTTGGCGCTGGCGCTAATGGATGACACTACGGTTACCTGCGCTCTGCTAAGGCTGAGCCCAGGAGGTAATCGTAGTGTCCTCTCTTGGCGCCAGCGCCAAGAATGAGTTGTCATACTCGAAACGGATGGGTTTTGAAGTACCATAATACAAGTTTTTTGGTGGATTTTGTTGACTTAGGACAAATTTGAAAACGAGCTCGAAGACGAATTTCTGGAGTCAAACGGATGAACCAGTCAATTCACAGTAACGATTTCCCCCGAGGATTCACATGAATTCTCGCTACGACACTCCAAGCAACAAAGCGGCGGTAATGGGTTGTGATGTTATCGTTGCCATGTAGGCCATTACGGCCACACCGGTTTGAAGTTGCGGCTCACGGGCTTGTGATTGGCTTATGGCGTACCACTGAAAAACATCGATAGTGAGAAGAAGCCACACTTTCTGCAGATACGTGCCTGGCTATCAAATGTGTAGATGTATATTTCATGTGCCAGTTCGCGGGACATGTCTTCAAGTCCAACGTTGGAATAAGTTGGGGTTGGATTGAATGGACAATTTTCTCACGTCTGTGCTGTAGGACAAAACAAGAAGGGAAATTCACAATGTTTCCTGGAATGCAGTTCCGAAAGAGTTTAAGTGAAAATGTTCTCTGAAGTATGAAATCAATTTGTGACTGCATGAAATCGAGGGCACATCTCCTGTCTTCTCATTAAGTTCTTCTTCCCTGCAATTGCTGATGTCATTCTGTGTAACTGGAACGATTGTACAGAAACTTTCCAGTTTCGCTACAAAAACCATACCATTGCCGTAGTTTGCCACTTGGGTCTTTCGCATGACCCTCTAGTGGTTTTCGCTCCTTCACTCACACTCGCACCAAGAGGTATACATATATTCAGAGGACAGCCCGAAAAAGACGACGACTTCATCCTCACTCCAACCCAGAAATGTGGACTGGAGGCTGTTGATCTGTACATGCAGCCGGCGACGTATACTGGTTACTACCATTACAGGTTGTTCTGTATACGTTTTGCCAAAGTGGGATAGCTCCTCCTGGGAAAATTTTGAGCGCAGTTCGGCGACGGGGGGCATTTTGCACTTTGCTTCCCATGAACTTGTCAAGCTATATAGAGAGCTACCTCATGACCCTATAAGAGTTTGCAGCTCTTACTAGAGTGGAACTTGTAAATCGGAGCTAGTGAAGCAGAGAAAGTGCCAAATTCCCCTCCCGCCCGTCGCTGAACTGCGCCAAATTTCTATCAGGGCGCGTTATTCTATGCTGGCCCACTAATTTCCAAGACCTTTTCCTACAGTTCATCCTCCAGATGTTTATACTCTTGTTTTTCTTATCGAGCGTTATTTCTCATCCCTTTATCGATCACCTTGATTTTCAGGGTTTCGAGTGACTCGTTGCGGCTCTTCCCTGTAACTTACAAGATGATAACTTTAGATGAAAATGGCATGGAAGTTCAGGCTATAAACCAGAAGGAGAAATGGATAAAGCCGAGCACGAAGGCGTTAGAAGAAACTTCATGATTCAGCCCAGCTGTGCTCGCGCTGAATCGGCCGTTTCATAATATGTACATAGAGGTGTATGCAATATTTAGACACCATATCCAGAAGATGGAGGGGCGTGGCTGCAGTCTTCACATGAACATGGCACCTCCGGAGGGACGTTGCTGTTTTGGGGTGGGGGGAGGTGTCATCACGGCTTTCAACCAATACAAGACAATATGACAATTGCCTCAGATGGAAATTTCGAAAAGGGCTTCCGCACACTAGTTTCAATTAAAGTACGCAGCCACGCCCTTCGCCTCTCCGGGATACGAAATGTACTAACATTCCAATTCTACGCAACAAACTGTTATGCATTTATTAGGTTGTACTGAGAATAAACCCTTAGTAAAGCTGCTCCGCTTGATTGCACTGTTGTTTCCTACCTAGTCACAGTCCATGTTATCCATAAGGGCGGGGTCAAACATGCCACTGAGCCTTCCTAAGGCGCGCAACTCGACTCCGCGTGGAATGGCTTCTTACTGTTCAAATTATTCGCAGAAATACTCA